CTGTGGTTGCACTGTTGACAAGCGAAACACTCAAGGTGGTACACATTGTTCCTGGCTCTCATAACCATCTCAAAGGCGGGGATAACCTTTGAACACGCTGAACAATATCCCGTTGTACCGAAGAGCCTGTGAGGAAAAGGGAGAAAGATGTTGTGAATGTCTAAATGGTGGAAGGTAAGAATGTTAGAATATATACCTGAGATTTGTTTTACATCGTGCTTCACCCATTTAATGAAATGAATTGCTTGTGTGTGTCATCTCGGTCTGCCTCTCCTTTCTGTATGTCTGCCGTCCTCTCTCTCTCTCTCTCTCTCTCTCTCTCTCTCTCTCTCTCTCTCTCTCTCTCTCTCTCTCTCTCTCTCTCTCCTCTCTCTCTCTCTCTCTCTCTCCTTTCTTTCTCCTCTTTCCATTCATATCCTTTTCTCCTCACACTTACATACCCTTTATCCCTTACCCTTTTTTTAATCTACCTTCTCTCACTTTCTCTTTAACCCCTTCACTTTCCTTCTTCCCCTCACTCACACACCCCTTCCTTTCCTTTCCTTCACCTTCCCTCACCTTCTTCTCAGTCACCTTTCCTCTTCCCTCACTTACCTTCACACCCTTTCCTTCTCTCGCACTCAACCTTCCTCTATTACCATCCTTCCCTTTGTCCTTCCTCTCTCCCCATTGCCCTTCTTCCTTCCTCCTTTCCCCTTCCCCTTTGCCCTTCCTCCTTCCATCTTCCATCTTCCCCTTTCCCTTCCTTTCTTTTCCTTTCTTCCTTCTTCTCCCCTCCCCCTTTGCTTTATTCCTTCCCCCTTCCCCTTTCCCCTTTCCCCTTCCCCCTTCCCCCTTTGCTTTACTTCCTTCCCCCTTCCCCCTTCCCCCCTTCCCCCCTTTCCCCCCTCACACTCACCTAAGGTAATCCCTCCTACAGAGAATGAGGTTGCCCTTCGTGAACAGCGTGGACCCAACCTCCCCCAGGCGGCAGTCGCAGCACCCGCACTTGAGGCAGTCTTCGTGCCAGTACATCTCCAGCGCCTTCAGGAGGTATCTGTCGGGGGGGAGAGAGAAAAGTTCAGTGGCTTTGGGTGATGGGTGATTGTTCTTTCTTTCTTTACATTTTTTTCCTGTTTTTTTTTTCCTGTTTTTTTTTTTTTTTTTTTTTTTTTTTTTTTTTTTTTTTTGGGGGGGGGGTGATATAGTATTATTGATATTTTTGGTTGGGTGTTTTAATGTATTGGTTTTATTGATATTAAACTAAATCAGTATAGTTTTAACTATACATTATAAGTGGTTTTAAAATAACTATAACAATTTTTATACATAAATATAATTATGATATTGGTATTTATAATTATCATTATATTTTAGCGACGATAGTGAAATTACGATATCAATGAAAACAATACGTCACATGAACAAATGACATATGACAACACAGCAAAATCATTAGGATAAGATGATAATGGTGATTATAACCGATAATGGTGATGAATCCTCTCGTGATCTGTTTTTGTTGTGATTTTGTTAACTGAAAATATAAAGTAAAATGTCAAAGACGAGACTGATATAAACACGCAATTATATTATGCAATATTTTTTGTGTTGTGTGACTAACGCTAGTGTTGATATTGTAATAGTATTTATAAAATTATAATTATTAGCATTTAGTAGCTGTAATGGTGATGTGGTAGTAATAATAATTATAATGATTCCAATAATGATAATGGCATTGAAAATGAGTTTGATAATAATAATGGTAATACTAATAGCAATGGCAATGGCAGTAATAATAACTGTATTAGTAATGGTAATAGTAACAGAAAAAGGAATAATAATAGTAATAACAATGATAATAACGCAAAATGGGCAATATTATGATGATAACTAATACATCCTCGCGTTTTTTTTTTACATCCGATTATACATTCAATTCACCATTCAATCTCACAACGTACTTGCCTATAGATATTTTCTCAGAATAGATAGCGCTTTTCAAAATTGCTGGTGATCTAACATTCGGTCCAATTATATGGGGAATATCCTATTGCTTTCTCGAATATGTTGCTATTACAGTAATAAAAGGATGAATTGGTTTAGTGTTTACGGTTGTTATAAGCGCGGTCTAAAATGACCCCCGTTTCTGGTATTCTAATTGTGGCAAATATAACACTAATACGGAGTTCTTTATATTAATTTCTTTTAAAGAATTCATCGACATTCCCAAGAATAAAGAAGAACGAAAAAAAGAAAAAGAAAAAAAGGACGTAAATATTTTCAAATCCACAAGGCGTTTCTCATTATAGGAATTTCCGTTAAACTTCGCCTCCCCCCTCCCCCCTTCCCCCGACCCGGCCCTCCCCTCCCGCCCTCCTTCTCCTCCCTTCGTCCGAAACGTAAAGCCTCGCAAAATATTGTTTTTGCCGTCCATCAGCATCCCCCGAGCTTAGCGCAAGGCCCGAACATGGCGGCATTAGGATTTGTTTTAGTTAAATCCCTTAAGATGAGAAATGGCGGTATTTTAAGCCCGGTAACGTGGATGGTCTCGCCGCGTATCGTCTCCCGCGCGCGCCAAAGTGTCAATATTTCGGTTTCGTTCGGGTTGTCGAGCGCGGGTTGTCGCGTCTAATGTTTTCTGCCTTTTTAGCATCATTTATCGTCTGTTTTCTTCCTGTGTGGCGTTATTCTTGGTTATTTCCTTTTGTTTCGAGGTTTTTTATATATGTATTTATAATTCATGACTTATTCTTCTCTTCATTGCGTTTCTCGCATACACATCTACTTGCTTCTCTTGATAATTCTTATCCTGCCATTCTCATTCTATTTCCTTCTTTAATTATATTATTTCATCACCCCTTCCCCCATTTATTTTCTCCTCCCACTCTATCTACCTTTCATAAACAATCGACTCCAGTGACTTACACATAAATAACAATAAGCATCAGAAAGGGTGACAATAGCCGATCGAACGCCACACCCGTTCTTGCAAAGCGTTCGCATAGGGAATCCGACTCACCTGTCATTAATCCGCTTTCCGCAACCCGCGCAGTCCTGGGGGCTCGTGTTCCTCTCTGTCTCCGCTGCGGGCTTCATCGTCATCTGTGGGGCAGAGCGCGAAAGTGAGTATTGAGTGAGTAATTAGGGAGTCTATTCTATAAGGCAGAGCGCGAAAATGAGTAATAAAGAAGTGAGTAATTTGGAGGAGTTTTCTGTGGGGCAGAGCGCGAAAATGAGTATTGAATGAGTAATTAGGGAGTCTATTCTATAAGGCAGAGCGCGAAAATGAGTATTGAGTAAGTGAGTAATTTGGGAGAGCAGAGCGTGAAAATGGGCAATTTCGAGGAGTATGCTGTGGGGCAGAGCGCGAAAAGGGGTAATGAATAAGTGAGTGATTTGGAAGTTTCCTGTGGGGTAGAGCGCGAAAATGAGTATTGAATAAGTGAGTAATTTGGGAGAGCATCCTGTGGGGTAGAGCGCGAAAATGAGTATTGAATAAGTGAGTAATTTGGGAGAGCATTCTGTGGGATAGAGCGCAAAAATGAGTAATGTGTGAGTAATTTTGAGGAGTATGCTGTGGGGCAGAGCGTGAAAATGAGTATTGAAAAGTGAGTAATTTGGAAGAGCGTTTTGTGGGGCAGAGCGTGAAAATAAGTGAATAAGATTAATTTAAGAGAGTATTCTGTGAGGCTAAGCGCGAAAATGAGAAATGATGAGTAATTTTGGGGAGTACTTTGTAGGGCAGAGCGCGAATATGAGTAATGAATAAGTTTGTAATTTTGGAAGAGCATTCTGTGGGGGAAGAGAAGTAATTTGGAAGAATTCTGTTAGCCTAAGCGCGAAAATGGGCAATGGATATAAGTAATTTTGAGTAGTATGCTGTGCAGCAGAGCGCGAAAATGAGTAACGAATAAGTGAGTAATTTGGAGGAGTATTCTGTTAGCGCGAAAATGAGTAATGAATATGTGAGTAACTTTCAAGAGTATTCTGTGAGGCTAAGCGCGAAAATGAGTTATAAGTGAGTAATTTTGGGGAGGTACGAGCAGTGAATATGCACAAACGAGTAACATTCTGTGAACATAGAATATGAAAAAATAGTGATGAGTAACTTCAAGATTATGGAAGCAGATCACGAAATGAGTAAAACAACGAGTATGTGTGTGAATAAAAGAGTAATCTGAGGTGCAAAACTCAAAATTGAGTAAAGTGAATAATGAATTAGCGAAACTTGAAAATGTCTTGGAGGAAAAACACGAAAATGAACAATAAGTGAGTAAGTAAAAGAGTAAGTGACAGGTAAGTCGGATGCACCTTCATTCACAGCCCTTATTGTAAGTGCGAACTATCGGTAAGTGTGTTTGTATAGCGCAAGGAATATGTCTTAGGTTAGGATAACGTGCATGTGTGAATGTGTGAATCGTTACGTCACTGCAGTTGTTTCGTTTTTTCTACCGCTGTTTTAACAAATAGCATCTCTTGAAGTATAATCGTTGTTATACGATTACTCTGATTTGTATCATTGGTATTGCAGATTTTATAATATATATATATTATATATTATATATATATATATATATATATATATATATGTGTGTGTGTGTGTGTGTGTGTGTGTGTGTGTGTGTGTGTGTGTGTGTGTGTGTGTGTGTGTGTGTGTGTGTGTGTGTGTGTGTGTGTGTGTGTGTGTGTGTGTACATATCATATACATGAATATAGACATATATACGCATATACAATTATATATTTATATATACATATATATATATATATATATATATATATATATTATATATATATATATATATATATATATATATATATATATATATTATATAATGTCTGCATGGCCAGATTTTAACATATATATAATTTTTGTATGAAAATAACTACTGAAATGACATCCAGCTTCATTCGCACAGGAATTCTTCCCCAAATCTAACAGAACTCTCTGTACAGCTTTCACGCCTTTCCGTCTTAAAAACAACCACGCGAGAAATACAAACCACAAGACCGTTCTTTTAGGCTGAAGCGCAGCGCCGGCGTTCGCGGATCCGCCGCCGCCGCCTGCATGCGACTCCCGGCGGATTCATGGCGCTGGCGAACGCAACACTTGTTAATTACCGACGGAGGGAACTTTGCCGAAACTCCGCGTGGAAGTGCAAGTGGAGAGCGCGCTTCCCCCGTTGTAATAACTGCCACTTTGGGAAGCTGGGTCGATCAAAGTGATATTAAGACACTTTGGCGAAAACTTTTGGAAGTCGGGACGTCGCCAATTAACGCTTCGGCTGTAAATGTTGGAGCGAATTGTTTCGTCGAGTGATCTGATATGCAGAGAAGTGATTTAGGGAAGTATGTTGATTGGTATGATTCCGAGACCGATTTGTGGTTTGTGTATTTTTATCATAGATTCTTCTGTGTGGTTTCTGGGTGGTGATGTGGAGACGCGATGTGAACTTTTTTTTTCTTTCTTTTCGAATTGAGAATAATAAAAAAACAGAAAAGGAAAAGAGACATTGGATATTGCATCGAGTCTTTTTGAATGACTTTTATAGATGAACATAAAGAGCTGATTTTTACGCATGTATGTGTATATAATTGTATATATGTATATATTTATACATATCTATAAGAGCATATGCATACGCTGCTTCCGCTATATTTTTGTCCCCCCAAAATTTATTTCTGATAAAAAAAATTAAAATATTCATCAGAAACGCAGCTGCATTTACTTTAATGCGTCGCAGAAAGCAGCATCCGTCTTTTTATCAAATCACTTCCCGATTAAATACCCAAGTCGACATATTATTTTAAGTAAGCGGGGCGGACACGATCTACAGTCGACTATATACTATTTAACTATATAACTTCTTATATATTCGCGGACACGAACTATACAGTCATCATTGGTATAAGATGAATAAGTAATTATCTAAAAAGAAAAATATATTGTACGTAATTACAGTTGCATTGATTTGTGTAAGTAAAGACAAAAAATACAAAAGTAGTCACTTTGATATCGAAATATTTTTCCTGCTTTGTGTTTTGTTATCTTATTCGATGTTAGTGAAATTAAGTTCATCTGTGTATTTCCATATCGTATCAGAATGATTTTCTTTTCTTTTTTTTTGTATATTTTTCGAAATAGGAATAGCAAGGCACGAAAGAGACCATTACTATAATAGATACCTATTTTTGTCTAAATTTACGTTTTTTTTTTATTTTTTTATATTTTATTTTTTATTAGTTATTTATTTTTGGCACATATTTTTGTCTAAATTTACGTTTTTTTAAATTCATTTACTCATTTATTTACGGCAAAATTGCGTCTAGATTTACGTCACTTAAGGGAATTCATCGATCAAAACTAAAATTTGATATAAGCTATTTATGTTTGCTACTATTCATTTATTAGAACGAAGAAATTTGTTAACGTGTATCTTTTAACGGAGCTTTATAAATACTTCGTTTATTAAAACTGTACACTTTATTTTTTTCGTTTGTGTTGTATCTTTATAGGATCCCTGAAAATAACAATATGATCATATTTGAATTTCAGACTTTCTTGAATTCCGTTAACACAAAACGGTCGCTCATAAAACGAAGGAAATGTTTTCGTGTTTTCTGAAATACCGAAGCCGAGTCCAAAATCCGCGTAGACCATAAGAACATAAAATAAAAAACATGAAACGAAAACAAATGTCTTTCGTTCTCCATCGCGCAATTCTCCCGGAAATTTTAGCGAAAACCGAAGGCGAAATTTCCCGCCATTTCGAAAAGGAAATTTCCCGCCTTCAGCTCTCCGCGAGAGAGAAAAAAACATCTCAAGCACAGCAATTACGAATATCCTTATTACCTTCCTTACTTTTTTCTTCTTTGTTTTGCTCTCTCCGTCTTTATCTTACTTTCTCTCTCTTTCTCTTTCTTAATTCATCGAATAATTATTACCTTTTATCGCCTTCCTCGAGCACCGACACTAACCCCCTCTCTCGGCCAACCTCCGCACTATCACGTAATCCCACCCGCATTTAATCGCACTTTCCCGCGCTTTTCCGGAGATCATTTCGCAAAAGGAATCCAGGACAGAAGGCATTCGGACGCGCTAATAAACTGTTCGATTTTGCGGAATCCTCCCAATGAGTCGTTTATATGAGGCCTCATTTCCTCACTTGGCTGGAAATTGAGTATATGCAAATGTTGAAACAAGTTCTACGTCTGCCATTGTTGCAAGGGCTGTTGTTTATGCTATGCGCCGCTGCATAATGTGATGAGTGATGCAGCGCGCGGTATGCTGAGCGTAGATAGAGTAGTGTAGTAGTAGTAGTAGAAATAGTAGACGTAGTAGTAGTAGAAATAGGAGAAGTAGTAGTAGTAGCAGTAGTATGAGTAGTAAGTTGTAAAAAGTTGTTGTAATTTAGTAGTAGTAGTAGTATGAGTAGTGCATTGTAAGAAGTAATAGTAGTAGCAGTAGTAGTAGTAGTAGCAGCAGTATATGAGTAGTAAATTGTAAAAAGTAGTAGTAGTTTAGAAGTAGTAGTAGTAGTAGTAGTAGCAGTAGTATGAGAAGTAAATTGTAAAAAAGTAGTAGTAATTTAGTAGTAGTACTAGTAGTAGTAGCAGTAGTGTGAATATTAAATTTTAAAAAGTAATAGTAATTTAGTAGTAGTAGTAGCATTATTATGAGTAGTTATTGTAGTAGTAGTAGTAGCAGTAGTACGAGTAGCGAATTGTGTTGCTTCTGTTGTTGTTTAGCCTAAGCAGCGGCGGCGGCGGTAGCACATTTGTAGTAATGGCGCCAATAAGTTGTATTAATGACAAGAGGGAACGTCATTTTCGATTTTTAAGTACTCATTATATATTTAGTTCGATGCGCTGGACACGTTATAGCTTATTAACGATCGCATAAATGCTGTCCGTTTCTCTCTGCACTTAAGTATATGTTCGACTGTATGGCTGTCCGATCAGGGGGTTTCTGGTGATTTTCTGTCTCTCAATCTCTGTCTCTTTCTTTTCTTTTTTCTTTCTTTGAGGATCGTTCTTTCGTTGTTTCTCTCTTTCTCTTTGTCTTTTTTCTCTCTCTTGCTCTGTCTCTCTCTCTCTCTCTC